CGATTAGTCGTCGATTAATCGTGGCAGTCCTACCCCTGAATAAACCTTTCTGGGAAATGTAGGAGAGTGTTGCCCGCCCCAATGGGTGTGACAAGGAAGTTAGGTTTATGTACATGTAACTTTAGAAGGGAGAGATTGTTTTTTAGTGCAGTCTGGGACAGATGCTTGTTAAGATTCTGATAAGACCCAGGGCCTCCAACTCACAGGTGCTGGCTGTGAGCTGACTGAGAATGCAGTTTTTGAATAAAGATCTTTGGAAGAAAATCGATTAGATTTTCTGCAAACTTAGTCCGACTTCCAATTCTGAACTCGTTTTTCTTACATTAATTTTTTTGTTTACATGTTTTCTCGTCATAATATCTCTGTAATAAGTTAAGATGCTCAAAACAGTGAGGATTTAACTGTCCCTTGGCATCATTTTGCTCTCATTTCTAGCTCCGTTCAGACAAGACGTATGAAATATCAAACAGGTCTGTGTTCAAGTCAAGAGCTGGCAGATAGTTTGTGTAGTTTAAGGATAAAGTGGAAAAATAAGAGGTTGAGCATCAACTCGTTGATCAGTTATGCAAGACAACTCATGACAGGAAATAATATATACAATTTGTACAACTTTCAAACAACCATAATTAGTTGTCAATTGTCTCCGTACGTTTTAAATGCTAGTAAACTATTACAACAACGAGTCTTAAATAAGTGTCTTTGTTAGCTAAAGTCTTGTGTGCGTGTGTGTCGCTGCTTACCGGCAGCCGCTTTATACACGACCGTCTCTTCACCGTTCTTTGCTTCTAGCAGCATATTGGACAAACTAGACTTGTGAACATCCGCAGGGCAAAAATGATCAAGTTGTGAATCCCCCAAAGCTTTCTAAAGCGCCGAGGTTCGTGGCTCACTCATTGACACTCCACATGGGCCTCCTGGTACCAGTGCCAATCGGACATTCAGCGGTGTCCCCTTCCGAGGGACTCATAGTTCCTCATTAACAGTTCCAYAGTTGGCTGTTTTCATTAGTTCTTGTATTATTTGAAACAAACAAAACAAAAATAAATTATATAAAGCCTAACTAGTATTTATAATACCCTATTACCATATTAGTATCATTAATTAGTCTTTAATAATAAAACTTTTCACATTCTGCTGCGAGAACGTCTTTAAAATCATTCCGACTGGAAGCATTTCCGTTAAAAACCGGAAGTTCAAACCTGCTGCGTAATTGCACCGTTTAGCAGTTCTTTTCTTCGTGTTTTCAGCACTTCAGACATTGAATCAAGATGCCAGACTATTTGGGTGACGATCAAAGGAAGATTAAGGAAGAAGAAAAGGAAGACGCACCTATTAGAGGTTTGTTACACGTACACTACTTTTTTCAAGTTCGTCTTTGTAAGGAAATGTCTGCATTACTAGCATATTAGCCGGTATTAGCTTTAGCTTAGCATCTCAAACAAAAGTGATTTTATCTACCGACATACTCATCTCATAAAGTAACTGATTAAAATACTTTAATTAAAAGTGCAAAACATAACGTTGTTTTCAGCGTTAGCAACTCGTTCGTGTGTTTTTGTTTCCCTCACAGCTTTGGATGAAGGGGACATAGCTCTGCTCAAAACCTACGTGAGTATGATACGAAAAAACACCAGCTGCTGGAAATTCAGAGGCGTTATTAGCACGATTTGTGTCCTTTTGGAATAAATCCCATTCTGCTGCCTGCTGTCTGTATCTCCAGGGTCAAAGCACCTATTCCAGGCAGATCAAACAAGTGGAAGATGACATCCAGCAACTTCTTAAAAAGATAAACGAGCTGACAGGTCCGTGCTGAAACCAGAAACACTGCAGCAGGAAAATGTTTCAGCGTTGGTTTTCTTACTCGACTGTAGTTGTTGGAAGCACTGAGAGGAAACATGATTGTACTTTTTCACTTTGTTAGGCATCAAGGAGTCCGACACAGGCTTAGCTCCTCCAGCCCTCTGGGATTTGGCTGCTGATAAACAGACTCTGCAGAGTGAGCAGCCTCTGCAGGTTGCAAGGTAAGCAATCACTTCATCTTTTTGAGTTTGGATTGTGGAAATACAACTATTTTTTGTTTCCCTCCCAGGACTTCATACTACAAATCAGTGACACTGTGTGATAACTTCAGCTTCAAGTTTGGGTTGTCTGTGTTGGATTTCCATTAGCTCCTGTTAAATAAATAATTCTGTCAGTTTTCAGGAAGTGTAAACTCTATGTCCATATCCATATTCATATCCAGTTGGCCATGGTCTAGCTATTCCTGTACAGGCCTATGCTGTACGCTGCAGTCTGATGTGAAAAGAAAAAAATTAGAATAACATTATGTTTACTATATTGTTAACTAATTATTTGCAAGTTAATGTTGCCTTTAATGAACAGTGATTTAAAAATTAAAAGGGAACATGGCGTGATGTTAAATACGACGCCATGTTTTAGATCTTTTGATGTGGATTTCAGAATTTTAATCACTTGCACTAAGCCCAACATCAAAACCTTTAAAAGTTC